GGCAGGAGGAGAAGGGCTTGTAGGGGGAAGGGGCTTGGAACAGCCCAGGAATAGTGAGAGAACTGGTCATGCAGGAATGGGGGCCATTTGAAGTGGAACAGGGCAATGGAAGAGGACACCCGTCTACTGGACATCAGTGGGGCCGGCCCAAGCTGGGCGTCCAAATGAGGCAGGTTGGAGAGGGCCCCGCTTCCCATCCCTGCCAATGCACAGGCCGTCCCCACCTCAGGAGTCCCACGCCTCCTCCCTGGTGGCACCCCCCTCTCCCTGGGCCTTTGGTTCCTCTGTAAATAGAGGCAGGACGGGCCTTGGTGGCCATGACTGGAAGGACAGGCCGTATTGGGTGGGACCACGCCTGCTAGGTGTGGCCTTGGGCAGGCCTCCTGCCACCGGACATGGCGGGAGGATGGGATGCCTGAAGCTCCTCGAGGGTCTGGCCAGTGACACGGGCACAACTTCCACGGCCTCAGGCCAGAGCAGACGCCCCCTGCAGCTCAGGGAGAGCCCTGAGCCTGAGACACATGCACGCATCTGCACACACACGTGACTCAGACACACGTGACTCAGGCATGCAGCCCCGCATACACATCGCCACCCAGAGACAGGGACCATGGGAACACAGCGAGACACGGGGAGACAGAAGCCGCTGCCCATGTAATGCTCACACACAGGGGTCCATACATGTGGGCCTCACCCCCCCCCACGGATTGCACACAAATATGGACACAAAAGGAGCACACGTGTGTGCACGTGCATACACACACACACACACACACACTCCAGCAAAGCGTGGGAATTAATTCCCCCCCCAGCCCAGATACCCCTAAGCTGACCGCCACCTGGGTGGCCTTGGACAACCCTCCCAGACTCCAGGCTCCCGGCCAGGAAAGAAGCCTGAGAGGCCCCTCCAGCTGCACTGAGTGTCCCTGGGGTGTGAAAAGTGGGACTCTCCTGGGTCCCTTGTGGATAACTCCTCATATCTGGGGTGGAAGCAGAGAAGCCGTTGTCATTAGTGAAGGGGGACAGGAGCTGGTAGGAAGGCCTCCCAGGCTCAAACTCTCAGGCTCCACAGCAAGATGAGGCTCCGAGGGGCTGTGCCTCTGCCCTCTGGCACGGGGAGAGGGCACGACCCCTTGTCTGTATCACAGGGTTACAGAGCAGCCGGGCCAGGCTGGCCTCGTGGCAGGTATTCAACAGAGGTAAGTGCTCCTCCATCAGTATCAATGCTCCTCCTTACCCAGGGAGGGGCTAGCTCTTTCCCTGGTACCAGGGCCACCTAAGCCACATAGGCCCTGCCCTTGGGATAGGGATTGAGGGGGCCACACAGCTGCTGTCACCCCCTGGGGCCCACCAAAGCCAAACCATCAGAGTTGAGCCCGAGGAGAGGAGCAGGATGGAGATGGCCCTGTGCCCCTGCCCTGCCAGCATGGACCTGGAACTCTCCCTGGCCCTCTGGAAGGGCAGGTCTCTTGCTGCAGCTGCCCCCTCCCCTGCCCAGGCCCCTCCAGGGTGGGTGCTGTCCAGTGAGGCAGCTCCAGTGCGCCTGGGCCTCCTCCAGGACCCCACCCCTTGTCAAGCTGCCCTTTCCACCTGTCACTCTCCCTTGGCAGGGAGAACTCCCAGGCTGGGCCTCTGGCTGGGGTGGGCATACCTGGCTGCCCAGGGTCTGACTGGCCAGTAGGGACTGCCCACAGAGGACAGTGCCAAAGGTATGACTATGGTTTCCATAAGCTAGAAGGACTTACAGGTAAGGGGCTTGCTCTAGAAGAAATCAATGTTTTTAATACTCCCAGTAAAAGTGGGCATGACTCTCCCCTCCATGACCCTGCTTCAGAGACATGCCCCTCCCTCAGTAGCAAGTGTCCCCACACCCAAGCCCCAGGTAGCCCCTGTGTCTGTCCAACATCCAGTTGGAGTTACTTATGGACATCCAGGCAGAGATGGGAGGTTGTCCGAAGCCCAGCAGAGGCCTGGGTGGATGTGGATTTATGAGTCACCCAACCCTTGTGACCCTCCTGACTCTGGACCACCGTAAAGGACTCAGTGCCTTCTTGACCATGATTGCCAGGAGAAGCCAGCTCAGGCTCCCTAACAAGGCCCCTCCAGAACCTTCTAGGTAGGCAGCTATTTGCTGGGACCATGGGGCACAGCCTCAGTCCACCCACATTGGCGGAGGAGGGCCACCAACCCAGGACCCAGAGCAGAAAGGAAGAAAATCCCACCTTTTCAGGCTAGATCAAGACTCACCCATCCCTGCAGGCCAAGGCCCCTGAGGTCACTCCCAGCCCAGCCTTGGCTACTAGCGAGCTGGCTGGGATAGCTGGGTCATTTCAGAGTCCCTCTTCGGGAGTCCCCTAGGAGTTGCAGCAGCTGAGTGCTGAGGAGGCACAGTCAGGGGTGCAGATCCAAAGCCCGTGCCTCCCCACATCCTGCGCTCGCTCAGGTTTACCCGCGAGGGAACCTGCAGAAAAGGCCCACTGCCCAAGTCACACGGGAGGGAGGAGAAGGCCGGGTGGGCACGGGACTCTTCAGAGCCGCCTGGGGTGAGGGGGCCACTCCCGACCTCCCCTTTGAGCGTGTCTACCCAAAGCTCTCTGCTCCGGTGGCCCCGGTCCGCTCCCACGGCGGCTAGCCCCTCTGCCCGCTTGCCAGCGTCCCACCGCCAGACCCGGACGGTGCCCACACGCAGCGATGGGAGACCACCAGCTCGGTGGCCGTGCCTCTGCGCGCCCAGGTATTGCTCGCCTGGCAATCTCGCCGCGCCTCGGTGGCCGCCCCCCTGTGACACGGAAACGCAGGCCCACCCCAACCCAGTGGTCAGGGGATGCCCGAGACGGCCGGCCGGCGCGGGTTCAGGCTTGTGCCTCTTCGCCCCCGCCCCTACTGCAGGAGGCTACGCAGGCGTCCGCGGGGCTGGTCCCTGGGGCCCGCCAGTCCCAGCCCGGACCCGCGGGGCGCAGAAGGCACCGCCCACTCTGCCTCCGAGCGCTGCGCCGGGGCGCCCCCGTGCGGCCCCACGTGCGAACTCTTTTAAGTCCCCCGCCAACCCTCAGAAATGAGTCGTATTACTTGTCCTCCCTTACAGATGGCAAACTGGGGCCCAAACGGCATGGCAGTGACAGACAGGCGAGGCAGGATTCCAGGCTGTCTGGCTTCAGAGCTTGGGGTTCAATCCCATCCACCCTACCTGGGCCCTAGCCACAAGCTCCACCTGGGCGAGTGGCACCAGCCAGCGCACATGGGGAGGAGCCCTGGCAAGCCTAAAAAGAAAAGTTTCTGGGCCCCACCCAGATGCCAAGGCTCCCAGCCTGTGCAACCCTTCCATGAAACCCGGACTGAGAGCCCCCGGCCCTCACAAATGGCCCCTTCTGTGGCATAAGAATGGCACTGGATGGCCAGGACATGCTGGCCCCAACACAGGCAGAGGAGAGCCAGGGTGGGGTGACAGGCTATCCCTGTCATCTGCCCCTCCAGCCCTGGGGTTCCAATGCTGAGGGCAAGCCCAGGCCAGCAGTGCTGGTGCCTGCTGGGCCTATGGACCACCTCGGGGTGCAAAGGGCGTCCTGCCTGGCCGTGGCCTTACTTCTCTGCCTGTGAAATGGCACATACTTATACCCCTGGCCTCTGAGCATGTGAGAAACAGTGTGAGGACTTGGATCAGCACTGGCTGGGCACCTGCTAAACCAGGAGATGGCAAAGTTGGCGACCTGATGTTCCCAGCAGGAGGTGGCTCCTCCAGAGGATGCCACTTGTGCCCTGCAATGCTGCGCCTTGGTGACTGTGACCCTTTCAGGTAGATGGCAAGAGAGGTACTATTCTGTGGGGCCAGGCTCAGCCATGGCAGGAAGCAGAGGGCGTGGACTTGGTCAAGGGGCTGGCATGGCACTGCCAAGGACAGTGAGGGGAGGTCACAGCAGGGGAGGTGGGGAAGCAGTGCAGGGCTGAGGGGCCCATGTCGAGTGGCCATGGGAAGGGGCTGCTTCTGGGCAGAGAGATGACAAGCAAGGGTGGCTTTGGCCAAGCACATAGGCCAAACCTAGGCAGGCCATTCCCAGAGTGGGCAGGGGGTGCAAGGGCCCCAGGGAGGGAACAGAGGGGTTGGGGAGGCCAGCTCAGATGGCCAGGTGCTCAGGTGGTCTGGCATGGCACTGAGGAGCAGGAGGGCCACACCTGGCCAGGAGTGAGCCGCTGCCCAGAGGCTGCAGCAGAACTACCTGTGTGGGTGCCCCTGATGCCCCTGGGCTGAGGAGAGAAACAAACATGGAACCCAGCCCCATCCTAAGCCTACCTGAACATGTCGCTTCTGCCCCCCAGCCTGTTACCTTATCTGCTCAGTGGGAAGATCCCTCAGAGCTGTTATTCAAGACTGACAAGGACCAAAGGAGACAGCCTGGCACCAGCCCATGCCTGCCTTGGGGCACAGAAGGGCCTTCCTGGGGACAGACACCAGGCAGGGGCTAAGGGAGTTTTTTGTCTTTGTTCATAGATAAGCTCCAAAAGCTGAAGGAGGAACTTGGGGCAGGTCCTTTTCCCTGGACAGACCCAGAGGACATGTCCTGCCCAGGATTTACTGCCCCTTGGCCACCCTAGGCTGGGGAGGAAGGGATGGCTGCTTCCACCCTGACACCCTGGAGGTAACAGTCCCCAACCTGGGGCTGCTGCAGTCACCTCCCCAGGCCAGGCCAGCAGATGCAGCAGTGCCCTCAGGTGCACACAGGTATATTTGTCTGGCTTCACCAAGACCCTTCCAGAAAGGTCTGGCCCTGACCCCTTCGAATCCAGCTCTCAAGCCTGTGATCCCAACCTCACGCAGCACCCGGGCCTCGGTCTTCTACACAACGCAGTGAACTGGCTTCCACTAACGCAGGGCCCTTGGGTCACCTGGGCGGGCTTCTCTAGGGGCATCTGTCCAGCAGCTTCCAGAGCGGTGCCAGTCCTGAGCGAGAGCAGCTCAACATCCCCCCTCATGCAGGTGAGCACACTGAGGCGGGTCCCTGGCCGAGAGGGCAGCTCATTCATGCAGTCAACACATGTTTATTGGCATCGACTCTGTGCAGGCCCTGGGTGGCCACAGGGGCTCAGAGCGAAGCACAACAGAACCTGCCCCCGAGGCACTCGCAGCCTGGCAGGGCAGTGGGTCACATCAGCGGGCACTCACGATACAGTGTGGTCAGTGTGGTGTTAGAGGTAGCACAGGTGACTGAGGGAGCACAGAAGAGGGGCCCCTGGCCCGGCCGGGGGTGGCAGAGAGGGCTTCTCAGGGTAGGTGACACTTGAAGAGGATCTTAGGGAGTGAGCAAGAGTTAGGGTGTGTCGTCTGAGGGAGTGGCCAGTGCAGAGGTTGGGAGGCAGGGGCAACACTGGCAGCAGCTGGGGGGACTCAGGGCCCAAGTCCGGCCAAGAGCTGTGGACAGCAGTGGGGTGAGGGGTGAGAAGCAGGCGTGGCAGAGGGTCCCCTGGGAACCAGCATGGAGGGTGCCAGGGGACAGGGCAGGGGCACAGGTGGGCAGCCGTGGGCAGCAGAGGAGGCAAGCGGCTTGGCCCGAGAAGTCCCATCCTGCCCAGAGCCCCGTCAGCAGGGCGGGGGTGGGGGCGCGGGCTGCCAGCCCCGAGGCCGCAGCGTGCAGAGCACAGGGTCCAGTGGCTTGAGCGTGGCCTGTTCCTGCAGCCCGAAGCGCTGCCCGGGCACCAGCCGGAACTCGAGCCTCTGCAGCAGCTTGGCCATGACCACCTTGACCTCCATCTGGGTTGGGGGTAGGTGCAGGGAGAGCCAAGCCGAGGGAATGAGGGAGGGAGGGAGGGAGGAAGAGGAAAGACAGTGAGCCAGATAGCAGCCAGCCGGGGCGACTGCCCCCAGCTAACCTCCTGCCCTCCAGGCCCAGAGAGGGGTGGAAGAGGCCCAGCTGCAGTCACTGCTGGGTGGGAGCCCAGCCCTGCCCTCCTACCTGAGCAAACTGCTGCCCGATGCAGGAGCGGTGGCCCAGAGAGAAGGGGAAGTAGGTGAAGCGAGGCCTGCAGGGGGGAGAGGCCTGCGGTGGGCGGGGCGCACAGCCGTGGTGGCTATCCGTTGCCAGGGGCACAAGACCTCAGCTGCAACTCCTGCCGGACTATGGACCTGCTTTCCCCCACGGCCCCGCTCCTGACCCTCCCAGAAGGGGCTGCCATGGTACTGATTCACACAGGGAGAAAGTGAGGCTCAGAGAGGCAGAGCAGCTGGCCCAAGGTCATTCTTCTGCCTCTGGGTCTGACCTCAGGGCCTGTCCCTGGAGCTCAGCTCTTCACAGCTGCTCTGACACATCAATGCACTGTCCCCTTGTCTCCAGACCTCATGGCTCCCACCTCCCGGGAGGGGCTGTGAGGCGGGGAAGGCAGGTGCTGGCCAGGTCAGGTGGCATCCCAGTCCAGGGTGCTGGTTCCGAGTTGTGTGAGAGTCAGGCTGACTGGGGCCAAGCACCAGCTCTGCCCGGGGCCTGCCTGGCCTCTCTGAGCTGTGACTTCCTCCCTGCTACCTCACAGGGATTTGGGAGCCGTGAGGGCTCTGTGGGTACAGGTGGCTCATGGCCCGGACCAGAGGCTGCTGTGATGGCCCCTCTCCCACTCAGGTCACTGGATGGGGGACTTACTTGGGGGCTCCAGGGCTGAAGCGATCGGGGTTGAAAGTCAGTGGATCCTCAAAGTAGGTGTCCATCCGCCCCATGACGTAGGTGCTGAACTGCCGGAGAGGAGCTGGTCTGCTTCACGGCTCTCACCCTCCCCCACCGCGGCGCCCACGGGGTGACTGTGGGAAGAGCAGCACCTCCCTCCCCACCCATTAGGCAGGAATGGGGTTCCACGGGACCCCAGAGAGCCTCTGAGGGGAAGAAAGGGGACGGCCTCTGAGGGGAAGAAAGGGGACAATCTGTACTGCCAGCTGGACCAGGTGCAGCCCCATGGGAGCTGCAGGTACCCCTGTTTTCCTGATGAGGAAACTGAGGCTCAGAGAGCGGCTCAATGCCTCTCTGGAATCTCCCAGAAAATAAACAGCCCCTGAGATTCGCAGTCCAGCCTGCGAGGCTGCCCCTCTGGCTCCTGGGAGCTGCTGCTCCTCGGGTTCTTTCTTGCTTCCCCTCTAGGGTGGGGTGGGGGCTGCAGCCACCTCCAGCCTTGAACCTGCACTGGTGGCATCTCCTGCTGGGAGCTGATGCTTCCCCTGTGCCCCGGCCTTTGGGGGCAGTGCCTCTGGCCCTGGAAAAGCAATGTGCTCCCAAAATTTGGGCCTCGGGAACTGGCCTCTGCCTCTCTCCCCCTTGGACAGTGTCTTCCTAAGCTGGCCCACCCCTGCTTCTCTGTGCCAAGAGCCTAGGGCTGTGCAATGGAGGGAGGCTGGTGCTGAACTCCAGAAAGTGGGGGCAGCTTTGGGGAGTTGGGGCTGGGGTCAAGGGCACCCCCAGTCCAGGGGTTTGTGCCACACCTGGGATGTACCTTATCCTACTGGATCTTCTCAATTGCCTGGGATGCAGGCACCACTGTCCCCAACCTGTAAGGATGGACCAGGCCCAGGTGACGGAGATGGCCAGGGAGCCAGGTGCTCAGTGGGAGATGGGTCTGCCTGTCCAAGCTCACAGGCCTTGGGCTGCCAGGGGGAGCAGCAGCTGCAGGCTGTGCTCTGCCTGAGGGAGGGGCCAGCTATTGAGAAGGCCCTCAGCTGGAGTGGTTTGGTCCAGAGGCATTGAAGAAATGACCAGCCAAACAGAATGAAGAATGGGGAATGAGGCTTTGACATACACTAGAGGAGGCTGGGTAGCCCAGGGGACCAGAGCGCATCGTCCTCCACACAAACAAAAATGGGTCTTATTATGGGTGAATTGTGCCCCCTCCAAATCCACAGGCTGAAGTCCCAACCTCAGAATGTGACTGTATTTGGAGAAGGGGCTTTTAAAAGGTCATTAAGTTAAACCTAGGGAATTAGGGTAGGCCTCGTCCAATGCAACTGGTGTTCTTACGAGAAAAGGAGACCAGGACACAGACACACGGAGGGAGGACCATGTGAGGACAGCCAGGAGATGACTTCAATGAGCCACGGGGACAGGCCTTGGGAGAAGCCAGCCCTGCGCACACCTGATGTTGGGCTTCAGCCTTCAGGACTGCGAGGGAGTAGCCTGCTGTGAGGCCGCTGGCTCTGTGGACTCAGTGGCCCCCTGTCCACCTCACCATGGCAGCCGCGACACAGAGTGCAGATCCCTACCTCACAGCCACACACACAAGCACTCCACACGGCCAAGAGCTTAACCCTCAAAATAAACATGGAGAATGGTGAAGTGAACAGGAGGAAGGGAGCAGCCTTTGGAAGCCAGGATAAGGAAGCTTTCCTTCAACAGCACAAAGTGAAAAAAGGAACCACTGAAAATGTAAGAACTTCAGATCATCAAAAACACATTCATGAAGACAAACCGCGAGTCTATGGGGTGACAATTGCCATGCATGTAACAGACAACAGATGACTATGGACTTTCTTAAAGTCAACCAACCCAAAAGGGGAAACCAAGTCAGCATCTCACAGAAGAGACAAAGCAGTGTAGGGACGTACCACCTCCCCAGGAATCAGGGAAGTGCAAATCAAGACTGCTGGGAAATACTTTTATGCTTATTTGATTGCAAAAAATAAAACATAGGACACCATGTAAGTGCCAGGGAGGCTGAGGGAGGACCAGCTATGTCCTAGGCACATCCTGGTCAGCAGGACCAGGCGGGCAAGCACTTTGGGTCACCTGTTCAGCTGAACACCCACGTGTCCCATGCCCCTGCTCCTCCTGGGCATAGCCCAGAACACGTTTCCACGTGGTGAGGGACATGGGAGGCAGAAACACAGCCACGTGGAGTTCAAGGTAGTGACCAGCTGAGTGACCCCAGGAAGCCCCTCCCACGCCCCTGACCCAGTACTGAGGAGCAGGGTAGCCTGTGCATTCAGCAGACCTCACACAGCAGCAGAAGTGGACGATCCACAGCCTCAGGGAGAAGCCCACACCGAGCTCAGCTGTCCTCCAACACGCCACCACGTGGGGACACGTGCACACACACACGGTATGGCAAACACAAAACTCAGGACAAGTGACCATTCCTGGGGTGCGGAGAATGGTGCACACACAGATGGGTGGTGGGAGTGGATTAGGAAGGTCCTTACATAAACGGATGCCTGAATGGCTACACCAAGGACAGACACACAGAGAAACATCCTGGCACACCCCAGGAGCACACAGAGGGTGGCAGGCGGACGCTGACTGGCGGGAGAGGGCTTATGAAACAGGGGGAGGGGACTAAGGCAAGTTTGGGTCAGATGGGAATCCAGGCACATCCCACATCTCCTGTCCACTAGCTGAGTGACCCCAGGAAAGTGACCTAATCTCTCTGAACCTCAGTGTCTTCAGCTGTATAGGTAGGACCTCCCTTCTGCAATTACCCACCATGATTTTGAACTGGACTGTGTAAAAAAGATCTCACAGGATCACAATGAGACTCAAAGGAAAAAGCTCAGGACAGCCAGGAGAGCCCAGTGCAAGGATGATTTGGGCCCATGGATGTCCCTGCTGCAGTACAGAGCTCCAAACTGGCCACCACGGGAGCCAGCAGGCCAGCCCCCCCAGAGTCCCTACGCACCAAGAGTGGAGTGTTGCCAGGGACTCTGACCCCATCAATCAAGGTCTCCTCCTCCAGCAAGCGAAAGGTGCCCCACGCTGGTGGGTACAGCCTCAGCGACTCCTTGAGGACCTTCAAAAGCACAGGACACACAATAGAGAGGTCAGAAAGTCCCAGGGAACGTGCAGCACAAGCCCTGCATCCAACTCAGTCCTGCCCACGGGGCTAAAGTGTACCCACAGCCCAGCCCTGAGTCCCTGAGCCCAGGACACTAGCCTCACGGTCAACCCAGCTCCTCGTGTGACTGATGAGACACGGAGGCCCAGAGGAGAAGGGAGTTGTACAAGGCCACAGTGGCAGAGCCGGGACCAGAAGCCAGGGCTCCTGCCCACCGAGAACCAGGGCCTGGGGCTACTGTGCAGCCAGCAGGCCTGGCTGGGCCTCCTCGGGTGCCCGTCGGAGTGGTCTGGAGTCTGCTGAGCCTGGCTCCAGGAGGGAAGCCCAGGCTTATGGGCCCAGGTGTGGAGAAGTGGCGCCCCCCACCAAGGGCCAGTGTCCAGCCTGAGCTGCATGGTGGGACTGCCTGGGAGCCTCTCCCCACTGCTGTCATTAGTGTGGGGGCAGCTGAGGCCCGAGAGAGGCATGAAATCTCCTAGAGGGTTCTCAGGGGCAGCCAGATTTGGGAACCACTGTACTAAAGGGTCCCCGGAGGCGGCAGCCTGACTCGACAAATGGCCCACATTTGCCCGAAAGCTTCTTTTGCACACCCCACACCTGAGACAAGTACTGCAGTCTCCCCAGGTCCTCATAGTCCAGGTGCCTCTTGGAACCAACCACCTCGTCCACCTCAGCCTGCAGCCTGTAGGTAAGAAAGAGGCAAGTTTGTCCCCAGAGAGACTCCCTGCCCACAGTGCCCATGTGCCAGCCGCCATCGAGCACCGGGAGCTGCGTCCCAGGGGCCTAGACACCAACGCCTGTGCTGGAGTCAGCCCCAGGTCGCACACCCCACACGGGCCGTGCGTGGTGTGTCCAGCAGGGCCTGGTGATGGCGGCCAACACAGCGGTGCAAGGGCCTGCGGGCAAGTCTGGGTGCGTGCGGTTGGGGTAACATGGGGCGCGCTGAGGTGGGAGCCCCTGCCCAGTGAGCCCAAGGCCCTGGGCTCCAGCCCGGCAGTAGGACGGCTGCCTGCGAGGTTCCTGTTCCTGAAGTCGAGAGACACGGAGCGTTGTGCATTGTGGGTGGGGACAGACAAAGGGGTGACTGCCAGGGAAGGCAGCACGGCCAGGCCTCAAAAGGTTACAAATGGAGTCGCCATGTAACCGGGCGATGGTGCTCTGGGGTGCGTCCCGAGGCAGCAACTACAGAGGCCACCAAGCCCCTGGACTATGAGGTCCTGGCATTAATTTGCGGTGAACCAAAGGTGGAAGCACGGGACAGATGAGGGAGAGGCTGGCGTCTATCTAGGCCCATGGTTCACTTCCAAGGGGAGGAAACGACCCTGCGGCTGCGCGGAGGAGGCCACTGCTGAGAAGGCGGCCACAGACAGACCAAGGCGGCGGCAGCCCCCAGAGGGCTGCATCAGGCCCAGGGAAGGATGAGGGTGGCGGAGGCTGGGGAGGTTCCGAGGGCGCTGCTCAAGGGGACAGTTTTGGGTTGGGAAGGTAACAAGGTCCTGGAGATGGACCAATATCACAAGTGAACTCTGCTCCATAACGTGCCCGCAAGACGGCAAGACCCTGCAGGTAGCAGCCAGGCCCCGGGGCCGAGCGAGGGCGGACAGCAGCCAGGCCCCGGGACCCAGGGAGGGCATGGAACTTTGCGTGCGGAGTGGGAGGTGCAGAAGGGAACCCAGCCACCGCGGGAACTGCCTCGGAGGGGACACCCCGGCGCCTTACCACCATTATTATTGTAACTTTGATGTCTTTTCCGTGGTTTCTTCAGTGCTGGGATCAGACCCAGGGCCTGCGAGTGCCCGGCCAGGGCTCCGCCACTGAGCCACAGCCCACGCCCTGACTTGTCCTGTGAAGTTCTCATTACTATTATACATTTTAAAGCCACATAGCCTCTGTCATAGTCTCGGTTCCTTCCTACCTGTCACGCTAGTGAGGGGCCACACTTGTCACTGGGGCTCTGCCCGCCCCCAGCCAGGTACAATCAGATGCTTTCGTGCACCTGTCTGCCACCCGATGGCAAGGAAACCAAGGGAAATTTGACCCAGCTCCAGTCCCCTCTCCCCAGGGACACCCTCCTGTCCTTGCCAACTGAAGCACTTCAGATAGAATGCTGCCGTGTCCTCAGTGCCAGTGGAGCCTGGTACGCGTAGGGACCGATAGAACCACAGTTCTTGCAGCTTCTGGTCTCCTAGTGGAAACAGACCCGAAGCCAATAGTCCCAGGAGGAAGCATATTTGTGAGCTGCTGGGGGGAGGCCAGGAGGGGAAGCACAGGGCTGCTTTGGGATCTGAGAAGGGTTTGCTGGAGGGAGGTGGGGGTGGTTTCTGGTAGAAAAACAGAACCAGACCTTCCAGAAGAGGAAACTGCAAGTGCAAAGGCTCTGGGGCAGAGAGAAGAAGGGTACACTGGAGGGTTTCTGCCACTGGAATTGGGGGCAGGTGGCCTTCAGAAACAAGACATCAGGAAAAAACCTTTTCCAGCCCCAAGTGCAGCTCTCCTACCTTGCCACGATCTCAGGCTGGCGAGACAGCTCCATCACCGTGAAGGCCAAGTGGTTGGCAGAAGTCTCGTGACCTGCAGGAAGGAAGAAGGGCAACTGTGCCACATGGGACCGTGGGGTTGCTGGCCACCTGGCTTCCAAGACCCCAGGCTCCTAGAAGCCTATCTGTCCCCCAGGGATGGAATATGCAGGAGACATTCCTGTGCCAGTCAGCATCAGCAAGTACCAGAGTCCAGCTATGGGTTCGAAAAGCTCCTCCCTCCAGCCATCTTGGAGCTTCAGGGCCTGGAGGGGTGGAGGGTGCTCACCCCCATATTGCAGAAAGGCAAGCTGGAACTGAGAAGAATGTGCCCCTGAGGTCCAGCAAGGGAGGAGCCTCTAGTCGCCAGGAGTGACAGGGACAACCCCAGCCAGAGGGTAGGCTTCCTGGGGGCTGATTTTGAGCTCTAGCAGCCCTGGTGCAATTGAGGGGGTCTGGATCCTCCCAGCTGCCACTGGAAGGAACGTGGGAGTTGCAGATGCTTAGAGGTGGGGGGGCTTCCCAGGGGGCCACTACCATCCAGCCCAGCCACAACACAGCAAGCAAGCCCTGGGAAGTGAGGCTGCGGGTCCTGGGTAGGAAGGGGGCCAGCCCCACAGCCAGGTCTTGCCCTGGGCCTGCCTCTGCACTGACCACTGTCCCTCCAGGGGTGCTTCCCTCTTGGGCCTGTTTCTTCTCAGGCACATGGAAGGAGAAATACACCTGCCTGCCCTCTCTCAGTGCCCTGGAGCAGACGCAGAGCTCAGGGTGGGCTGAGGACAGGAGGGGCTTATCCGGTCTTCACTGGAAGGCTGTGCCCAAGCTTGGAGAGCACCTCCAGCCCCCATCTACAGATATGGAGACTGAGGCCCAGGCCACTCCAGAAGCTCCATCAGGGCCTGGGTTCCTGGTGCGAAAAAATGAAGCCATTCATGCCAGACGTGGTGGTGCACGTCTGTAATCCCAGAGGCTCAGGAGGCTGAGGCAGGAGGATCACGAGTTCAAAGCCAGCCTGAGCAAAGGCAAGGTGCTAAGCAACTCAGTGAGACCCTGTCTCTAAATAAATACAAAACAGGGCTGGGATGAGGCTCAGTGGTCGAGTGCCCCTGAGTTCAATCCCCAGCACAAAAAAAAAAAGAAAAAAGAAAGGTGCTTCCCTCCTCGCAGCCTCTGGGGTGCTCCCCCCACCCCCAGGAGCCTCTCCACCCTGTCCCTGTGGCACAGCTCCTCATCCAACAGGAGGCCTCGGCCTGCCTCTGCACTGGACTGCCAGCTGGCCTCGGCTGGTCCCCAGTGCCCAGAGTTCATTCATTTGATCATTCATTTCATCCAGGCTGTGTGGGCACCACTACCCTGGACCTGGGGTCGCAGAGGAATGTGCTGTCACCTGGGGAAACAGACCTTGTTGAATTACTGCAGGTAAAAATGCAGCTTAACACTGGGACAGGCAGAGAGAGGCTCTGGGCGTCATGGGCAGCTCCGGGGGCAGGTGCAGCCTGGGCAATCACTGAGGGCTTCCCTGAGGAAGAGGCAGCTGAGGGCTCCTGGAGGGGAGGAGGACTTCTCCAGTGGGCAGTGACACTCAAGGTACATTTGATGAGCAAATAAACAAAGTCGTCAGCATGTCTGTTTGTGCCATCTACACGAAGGACGCCTCACCAATTCTGAGGAAGGGGAAACCCTGAACCCGCACACCAAGCCCGCCCACAGCTGCCAGCTCCATGAGCAAGTCAGAATCGAGGTCACCAAGACAGCCCCCCAGACCCGCGGGGGGACTGTGCTCGGAGATCCTGCGAAATCTCTCAGGCCAGGGTTAAGTGACCAGCAGTGCCCACCATTCCTGCAGAACTCTGAGCCTGGGCCACCCGAGAGGTACAAACCAGCAATGAAGAAGGTGACAAAGTTGTCCAGCAGAACCTCATCGTCCTGGGCTCCCTCTTCAGCTGCAGGACAAGGAAACCTGTCAGTCCCGGGTCACCCGGGCTGCCTGTCTCCTTTGAAGCCGCTGGGGAAGAAGGGTCAAGGGTGATGGGAGGGCAAGGAGCCAGTGCCCACCCGTCCGCCCGCCGGCCCTCCCCAGGAGCCTCGCACCTTTGAGGAGCTGGGTGAGGATGTCCGCGGGGACCTTCTCCCCCCGAGTCAGGGCCTCCCTGCGGCGCTGAACCCAGTCCTTGCCAACCTGACGGAGCAGGCGGACGCTCTGCCGGATCTCCTGGAGCTTCTTCCTCCTCCCTGGCATGAACTGAACGAGAGCCCCACTCAGGACGTCCCCAACACGCGCTTCCCTTCCCCGCCCTGCACCCCGAGAGGACTTCGGGAGCCCACAGCAGCACTGGCAAGCTGGGAGAAAGGAAGGTCAGTCAGGGAGGTGGCAACAGAAACAGGACCCTTCAGAGGGGGAGTCCCACATGTCCAGGGGGCCAGGTGAGAAGGTAAGCAGCGCCCAGTCTTATGGGGTTAACAGCCATGTCTGAAAGTCAGGAGTTAAAAAGTGGACCAGCTCTCGAGGCCATACTTAAGGTAACGCACCCCGAGTCTGGAGGTTGCGAGGTCAGCTCAGCCTTCAAGACCACAAGGCCAGCGGAGAGACCAAGAAGCCAGGGCCAAGACACATGGCATCAAAATCCAGCCCGCCGAGGCGAGCGGTGAGCTGCCCTGCTCTGAAGCCCCGTTAGGAACTTTCCCAGGCAATAACGAGCCAATTCCAGGGGCCGAGGGGCGGGCGAGCTGCAGAGTAGTCACTGTGGTGGCCCAGAGCCTGTGCCTCCTTGGCACAGCACATCGGGCACCCTCAGCGGACGTGTCAGACGGCCCTGAGACCTGGGGCGCAGGAAGGGGCATCAAGAGCAGGAGCCCAGCAGGCGCGATGGACCTCTACCCCCGCCTGCCATGGCCTCCAGGCGAGCCCTGGCTGCCGAAGATGCCATGAAGCTGGGCCTTTGTCCTTTGTTCACCTCCGGGATCTCTGTGCCCTCCTGGCTCCTGCCTTGTGCATAAGAATAAAGAGTGTGGGGCTGGGGATGTGGCTCAAGTGGTAACGCGCTCGCCTGGCATGCACAGGGCGCTGGTTTCGTTCCTCAGCACCACATAAAAATAAAATAAAGATGTTGTGTCCACCAAAAACTGAAAAATAAATATTAAAAAATTCTCTTTCTCTCTCTCTCTCACACACACACACACACACACAAAAAAAAAAAAAAAGAATAAAGAGTGTGCAGCTGTACCGCCATCTGGTTCCTCTGCAGCACAAGGCCACCACTCCAGGAACCAGAGCAAGATGCAGGTGAAACCCCAGCAGCAGCCCCCCACCCGCACCAAGCCCTTAGAAATGATGGGAAGAGGCTTTGAACATCTGCATAGCACTGGGAGGAAGGGACCTCTGACCAGGCACAGTGGTGCTCACCCGTGATCCCAGCTGCTCTGGAGGTTGAGGCAGGAGGATGGAAAATTTGAGGCCAGCCTAGGTAATTTAGTGGGACCCTGTCTCAAAATGAAATTTTAAAAGGGTCTGGGAGCATAACTCAGTAGTAGAGCACTTGTTTTGCCTGCATGAGGCCCCGGGGCTGATCCCCAGCGCCACTAAATTAAATTAAAAATTAAAGAGAAGGGACCCCTGAAGAATGGAGCCAGTACAGACTGCATCACAAAGGAATAGAATGGATGGCTATAAAGATGGGGTGGCATGAGGACTGCAAACTCAGAGACTGAAGTCCCAGGGAACAGAAGAGGAACCTGGAGATAACCTCAGGAACACCTCTCCCATTTCTTCCTTCTTCATATCTGGAATAAGGAAGGGATGACTGGAGCTTCTGCAGTCATCTTATAACAGTAAGGTGATGTGCAAAGGACAGTAGAACATAGAGTGGGAAGGTCCAGGAACATGGGACATAGCGGAGCCATCATAACCACCTAGAAAGTCTGCTGCAGGATCACTTAACAGGAGAGAAAGATTAACTCCTAATTACATTAATGTAATTAAGCCTTGTGCTCCCACTTGAGGTTTTACAGGTAAATCCTGGTTCAGAAGTCACTTCAGCCACACTAGAACTCAAAACCCATTCTGGAAAAAGTACTGGAGGAGGACTGGGGATGTGGCTCAAGTGGTAGCACGCTCGCCTGGCATGTGCGCGGCCTGGGTTCGATCCTCAGCACCACATACAAACAAAGATATTGTGTCCGCCAAAAACTAAAAAATAAATATTAAAATTCTCTCTCTCTCTCTCTCTCTCTTAAAAAAAAAGAAAATAAGTACTGGAGGAGGTGCCTCAGCAGAGGCAAACAGCACAGCTACGGCAGCTGGTCACCAGGGAACGGGGGCCCAGGCATCACCTTGGCCAGAGTGTTGCGGGACGCGCTGATGCCCTCCAACATCACCTTCACGGCCTGGGACAGGGGCTTCTGGGCACCTAACAGCATGCTGGTTTCCATCCCAAAAGCTGCCTGGAGAGAGAGAAGGGCAAGGTCACGCCTGGGGAGCAGGAGGACAGCAGATTCAGGCAGAACTGGCACCACTGAGCTGGAGGGTCGGCCCCGGGCTAAGGGATTCTGTGTACCATGTCATCCACTCCTCGTGGTGACAGGTGACAATTCCACGGGCAGTTGTGGGGTTGAGAGCACAGGGTAGCTACTTGATAGACTTGGCTCCCTCCTTGATGGGACGTGTTGGCCCCGGGTGAGGCCTTCCCTGGGTATCCTGCCCAGCCTCAGAGAATTGCTGGAACTAACACTGGTGTTGATTCCACTTGCTGCCTCGCACGACCAGTCGCCTGACCTCCTGTCAAAGGGCTGGGCTGGGTCAGTGCTGAGTCTGTGTGGCCACCAGCCTGCCACAGGCCCTGGGGGTGCAGAGAGGTGGGTCAGGAGCCAGGCAGCCTCTGCCACCAACCCGCCCAGCTCAGCCGGGCGGCCCCACACCTCTTGGGTCCCGTCTGGAGATCACAAGTGCAGCCCCAGCCTCACAGTAGGCTGCTCTGGACATCCAAGGAGTCACAAATATGAAACTCCATGAGAAGGGGAGACCCACCCGTGGGGGCGGGCAGCAGCAGGAAGAGGGAGAGAAAGAGACCTCACCCATGTCCCCCCCCAGCCCCCTGGCCTGGCATCACTCGTTACCTTGGCTAAGATGTCCATGGTAGCATAGGTCAGCATGTCCTGCATGGACACTGGGGTCTGTCCGTCTGCCTTGGCTTCTAGAATCTCCACCAGCTGCTCAGCCTTCTCATTGAATGTCTCCATCAAGCTGACCAAGGAGCTGGGGAAACACATGAGAATCAACGGCCACCAGCCCCACCCAGGAACTGCCCCGCGCCCCTCTCTGCAGGGAGGACACTGCAGATGCCGAGAGTGGCCTCCCACCCTCTGGCCTCTCCTCAAGGCCTGGATCGCAGGGTGGGGTCACGGTAAGGGAGCTGAGCCTTGGGGTTGCACACCCCCACCCACCCCTTAGGATGGACACTGTCGCTTTGCCCTTGCCTTAGCGGTTTCCTGGGGTCTCTGTCTGCCACTGTGGCCCTCAACTCTGACTTCAAAGGGACATAGCAGCACTGAACCTTTGGGACCTCCTTGAGTCTATGTCACAGCCACCCTGGTCCCCTCCTACCCCCCTCTACAGTGTCCTCTCTCCTTACCTGGCTTGTCCCCAGGCCACCATCCTCAGTCTTTGTTGTCCCATCTCACTCCTGTCCTTGAGCAATCTCAGTGCCCAAGCCTAAGTGGAAATGAGTCCCTAGATGCCATCTGCAGCTCAGAGCTCCCAGCCCCAAGTGCTCCCCGCTGAGACTTTTACCAAGAGTGAGATTTTTACCAAGAGTAAGCTTTTATGATTGGCTGTAATATTAATCTGATAGGTATAGGTATTCTCTGTCCTATTCTTAATCTGGAATTTTCTGTGAAATATTGAAATCATTCCAAATAAAAGTTCTAAAACACTAAAAGGAGAAAATGAGAGGAGGGAAACGAAACAGGCTTTTACTGAGGAAAGAGAATGGGCTCGTTCTCAGACTTGGCTCCTGCTCAGGACAGGCCTCTGCTGCCCGGCCCCGCCCCTGCCCTGCACTGCACCTGCCAGGCTGCTCCTGGAAGTGCCACTGGATCTGGTCCCAGTAAAGTGGGACGCTGAAGCCCCTGCTGCCCCGGGGGAGCCTAACTTCCCGGCTCAGGAGGCAGGGTCTGCCTGGGGCTGGCTTCCACCCCCACACTGCCCTCCTGTTACAATGGCTTCTAGTGCCTCGGCCGCCTTGGGGCTGAAGTACAGGAATCTCCTCAGCCTGGAATCTTCTTCCATTACTCTCCTTATGACCTTCACCATCTCAAGTCCACCTGGCTCTAGATGGACAGGGTCTCCTGAGCCCCAGCCAGCCCAGCGGAAGGCTCACGGTGAGTCAAGGGCGAGAGACAGGCAGTCAGCATGGGTAATGGATGACCAGGTCGGAAAGATGGGGCTGATCATCAAAGAGAAGGAGATGGAAGACTGATACCTCCAGAGCACGTCCCCCTCTTAAGCAGTGGCCAGCTCTAGGGCATTAGTCCTCAACACAGGGAGTTGATAGTGAGCAGCCTCCGTGAGGCTCCTTTCCTGCCTTCTGGTCACGTAGGCAGGACAGGGAGGTGGGGGAGGGAAGGAAACCTGAGATCTATACAAGGGCAAGACACCTGCCCCACACACACACCAGCTCTGGGTCCCGGCTTCTCTCCAGGGAAGTCCAGCTCTGTCTCCTAAATACACAGGGCCCTCCGTTACAATGGCCCTCTGGTGCCATTGCCCTCTGTGCTTGCCTTGGCATTTCTGGGGTGTTGAATCCTCAACATGGGGGAATGAGGACTGATCCTGACTTTCAAGTCTGATATCAGATGGGGGATTGGCCGGGGTCATCACCAAGGTAAGCTCCTCTCACCTCACAGCTTTCTGAGGTGCACTTTCTGTCTCTCTCCTTTCTGGGGGGCAATAATAGGCACTTGTTGGCTAATTAAACATGGTAACTGCAATCCACCCTTCTACAAGACTCAGATGTGAGGGTTCACAGTCTTGGTGGCTCCTAATCACCTGTCCTGTGGGTCAGGCATGTTGGGTTCTGCCAAAGCTGTTTCTTACTGTCCCATCCAGCCTCGGAGTGAGTCTAGTGTCAGTAGACAGCGTCCCTTAATGCTGGTTGCCTTTGGAGACCAACAAAGGGGTGAGACAACTATGAGACTCTGGCTGGGGCCACTCCCCAGTGACTCTCAAAGTTCTCCCCCAACCCCCTCTCTGGACAGCCCAGTGGGTATCCTACATGACTGGTTGATTAGGTGGTGCAGAGTGAGAACCTCAGTGACATACACCTCCAGAGAGGGAGCTGCACTCCCCACAGGCTCCTCCCGAGCACCCTTCCCCTCACTGACTGGACTCTAGCCATTGAGAGAGGGACACTGAACGTGGAGTGGTTCGTAAGGAAGTGCCTGGGTCCCCTTTGTTCACCTATTAAGCCCTTAAAAGCCTGTAGGACTTCTCCCCAGTGATGTCTCTGTGCTCTGCTAGTTTCTTTGGCTGCAAAAAGGGAGGCATTTTTCAATTCACTTCTTCTATAAATTCCTCAGAGAAAAGGGTGTTAACCTTCTAACAACCACTGTTCTCCTTACCCTCTGGAGATTCCTTTAGCCTGCAGAGCAGAGGACTATACCCCACTGTAGGTCATTTTTTTATCCTCTGGGTCATCATATTTGGAAGTTTAATAGTGGCAGGAGGTAGATCATTCATGGCTGCTAAGTGTGAGTCCTCCAGGGTCTCTGGCGTGCAATAAAACAGAGACCCTCACATCCTCACCAGTGAGGCACCAATAAATCCAACAGATCAAGGAGAGAGAGGCGGGTTTGCTGACTGTCAGAAACTCATTTAGGGAGATGTCCCTAATGAAATGGACAATTTCTCTGGCGCAGGGACTGAGTTCTGTTTTCTCACACTTAGATGGAGCTTCATGCTCAACAATTCTGTCAGGTTCACCACTAGACTACACACTGAAAACCTGGGATAAGTTTGGCCCACAGACATGCAAGAAAAAGTGCCTCATTTTCTGCTGCCACTAAGGCCTGGGAGATGACCTAATCACAGTGGAAAAATGGAGATGTCTTATTATTTTCTGCATCCAAACCTGGCCTGACTACCAATTGGGGAAATGGAAAAGAGTCTCCAAAGGAAACATAAACTACAGCACCACACCTTCAGCGACTAATTTTACAAAAGGAAAAAAAAATATTAAAGTACCCTATGCATGAGGTTTTGCCTCTTTTCTCCTTAGCTTTCCAACTATCTTTATCTCTCCAAGGCTTGCAGAGGTCTTATCCAAAACCAGTTTGAGACCAAAGGGGAAAAAGGTGTCACTTTTAAATTCAAGGCACTGTAGTACCTAAATGGCTATCTTATCTGCTCTTGTACTCTACCACCTGCTTTCTTAACAAGTTCCTCCCTAAACACTATAGCACAGGGAGAAAAATGGAATGATCTCATACATACAAGTCTTATTTACCTCAAAAATCTTTACTTGAGGATTTCAGCACTCTCATTCTCTAAACATCTGGACCAATTCTAATCTGATCCAAAAGTGCACTCTGATCTGATAAAGATGTTCTACATGCTCCTTTACTAGAATAATTATGGCTGCATCATTTTTTTAGAACTCCTGCAAATTTCTATATTTTTGAGCTCATGATTTTATTGTGAATTCACATTTGATCCTGCATGCCTAAATTGATATATTTTTCTGATCAGTATTATTTTATCTAGCTATAGAGATTTTTACACTCTTTATTCAGAGGCCAATTTTTCAAGAGTTAGCTTTCAAATACAGGGGAAAATTTTCCTTTCACAAAATCCTAAGAAGAACATAGACATGGTGACGTTGTGAATAAATCCAATAGCCACTGAGGACAAGTGGCCACTTAAATCTTTGATTTCAGTGTCCACCATGTTTTTCAGACTTTGCATCTATCATTTCCAATAGTATAGGACTGCCCTATATTTAAGTCATAATGCAAAGGTCTGATAAGCTCTATTTTAATTTCTAGTAGGTTATATCTAATAGAGGCTTTAATAGACATCTGTAGCATTGTCTCCTACCTGTGGAGATGTACCTACAAAAGGCTACAAGATCTTTGTTTTCTGTCTGTTCTATGAATGTGTGCACACCTGTGTATTGTATTGTTGTGTCTACTTATGTGCTTTTGTCCATATATCAAGTACATGTTATTGAAATTGGCATATAGATAAATGAGCACTCATAATTTAAAATTTAAATAACAAATAGATTCAAATACATTTTAGTTCATGTGACTTAAAAAAAAGAAGTTCAATTTAAATTCATGAACCCATGAGAGTAAAAATGACTTTAAAATTACTGGCTCACAAGTTTTTCTAGGTGATCAGACAATTAATATGGTGTTGGTTTCTATAAAATATCTAGAATGCAATATCCATTGTTTCTAGGATTTTTCTTCAACAGGGAAGAGACGGCTAATACTGTTAACTACACTTGTCTGATATCTTGGTTTTACAGCTAAAAATGAGTAAATTAGATTTAACATCAATGGGATTAATCTTCATAAATGATCTCATATATACCAGAGGAGACATCAGATTAATTTGCAAAGTTAAAATGCTAAAACATTGGACTGGGGCTATGGCTCAGTGACCCAGAGTGCTTGCCTGGCATGTGTAAGGCACTGGGTTCAAGTCTCAGCACCACATAAAATAAATAAAGAACGGTATCATGTTCATCTACAATTAATTTTTTAAAAAAATGCTAAAACATCAACTGCTAAATATAAAATCAAATATTCTTGACTTCTTAAATTCCATAATATATTTAAACATTAATCATTTCTGTGTCTTCACTAAAAACAAGGTTATTAAGAGTTAAGATTCGGGCTGAGTTGTAGCTCAGTGGTAGAGTGCTTGCCTTGCATGCATGAGGCCCTGGGTTCAATCCTCAGCACCACATAAAAATAAAGAAATAAAAACAAAGATATTATGTCCATCTACACCTAAAAAAAAAAAAAGAGAGAGAGAGTTAAGATTCTATCAGCCAGGCATGGGGATAGTGGCTTGGAGTTGAGAGATGAAGGTCACAAGTTTAAAGCCAGCCTCAGCAACAGCAAGGTGCTAAGCAACTCAGTGAGACCCTGTTTCTAAATAAAATACAAAATAGGGCTGGAGGTGTGGATCAGTGGTTGAGTACCCCTGAGTTCCATCCATGATACCCCCCAAAAAAGAGATTGTATCAG